AATCAACAAAAGTAACTAAAAATAAAAAATAAAAAAAAACGTGACTAGAATTTATCAGGCTTCCCCAAATTCCAATTAATCCGGAAATTTTTTTGATTATTACCGACCGTATTGTGTAAACAATAGGTAGGTTATGTGATGGCAACAAATTTTGCATATCGAGTTTTCGGTGGGAACGTACTTCTCCATAGTAGGGAAGTGTAAATAAACTATTTTTAGCAACCTGTCGGTCTGTCAGTCTGTCGGTCTGTCGATCTGTCCGTCTGTCGGTCTGTCCGTTTGTCGGTCTGTCGGTCTGTGTGTGCACGCGTGTATCTCAAGTTCGGCTGAACCGATTTTGATGAAATTTTATATGTAAGTATATATCAGGCCTCGGGAACCGCACTTTTTAGCGGGCCTGTTTTACATTTTTGAACATTTTGAAGAAAATATTCAACCGATTTACTTGAAATTTTATATATAAGCTCAGCTCGACCGTCCGCAAAAATTGGTATGTTTTGGAAGAAATCAGGCATCGGCAACTAGACGTTTACCACGGGCCAAATATACATTTTTGTGCATATAAAGAGAAATAATCAACCGATTTCATTGAAATTTAATATATAAATTCCTCATATTAAAGCAATGAACTTATTACTTTTTTGGAAAGATCAGGGCTCGAGAACTGATTTGCGGGCCGATTTTACATTTTTCACCATATCCACAGAACAAATTGATGGAATTTCTTGAAATTTGATATTTGAGTTCTGGTTGTTACCGAAACTAACTGGCGAGCATTTCAGGGAATTCGGGTAGCACAAAGCGAAACTCTACTAAGAGCCAAATTTACATTTTTCTAAGTATGTTAACTATAAGCTTACTAATATCCTAAAAATTGGAAAGAAGTATTTAACAGACATTTTTATAATATTCTGTAACACTTTCATTTAACTAGACAATACACAATGCGGTCGGTTATGTGCTGACCACATCAGATTTTTTTTTTTTTTATTTTAATAAAATTGAAGAATTAACTGCTTGCACGAAATTAAAAAATGGTAAAAAGTTAAAATAAAATTTCATTTGATTTCTTTTTTCTCGTGTATTCAATGGAATGCCAACACTGTAAAGTGACACATTATTATTTTGGTTTATGAATAATTAAAACAAGTGTGTGTTAATGTCATAAATTATTGGATAATTCAGAAAACCAAACAAACCAAAAAGAAATTTTAAAAAAAGTAGTAAAAGTTTGGATAAGAAGTAGAACAGAAAACAATGAAATTAAATTTTCATGTGCTTTCATAGCGATGGTACACCCAAGAAAAAAAATTTAGTTAAGCAAATAAGCTAAGAATGACAATTTTTTAAATTTATTTGCTATAGTCTCATTTGCTAAGTTTTCATACTTATTTTTATTCTCACAGAAACGAAGCTTGGTCGAAATTAAATTGAGCGTATTGTGCGCCTTCGACTAAGTAAAAGGACGTATCGTTTAAATCGTTTTCTTATTCTACCAATAAATTCGAGCTTAATATGAAATGGTCAACTCATTTTAGTTACTTTACCGTGAGGACAGATCTACCAAGAGGCTACATTTTTTTGCGAATCAAGGTCGCATGTATTTTAAGAAGGTTCATTGAAGGGCAATTTTCTGTTAAAAAATCCATGAGAATCATGATTTAACTCTGATCTACTCATGTAACTCATTTGTAACGCTTCACAATTAATTAAAAGTTCTCATTGGATTAGTTTATAATCTCAATTTCAAAATGTGTAGATCAAATAAATTTTATTAGCGAAGCAAATTGGATATTAATGCCAAATAGATTATATTTTTTCATATTTATTTTTCTGGGTGTCGAAAGTTTCAATACTTTCATAATGAAATTTTTTGTTCAGAGACGCGTACTATATTTTTTTATTAATTATTTTTGTTTAATTAAACCTTCATTAAGTTCACTTTATTTGGCGTACTTTGCTATATTTTCACAACGTGTTAAATGTGTTTGTACTTTTGTAATTTTTTCACATATTTGTAGCTACTTAAATATTCATTTTAAGATTTTTGGATGTTTTCTAAAATTTTCATTTTAAGAATCGATTTACGCACTTGTAAATCACAAAATATTTGAAGAATCAAGAATATCACAAATTACTTAAGTTTAAAGGGTCAATATCAATATTTTAATTGTAGTGACTGGATTCCGGTATCAAAATAACAAATAAAATTTTAGGTTCAATAACATAGTATTTACTGATTATCTATTAAAATTTAAGTATTAAAGTTTGTTGGACGTAATTTTTGTATAAACATACACACATATGAATGTTAAAATATTTTTAAACTGTTATACACACTTAAGAATATATTTGAATTTTGTACAGTTGGATTCTATATAATATTAATCACTATTTTGCCGCCAAATTATAGAGAGGATTTGCGTTATGCGAACAAACAAGAAATAATTTATAGTGCAAAATGCAACAAAACAGAAGCTTATTAAAGAGAATTTCGCTTTTCGGATGTTCCTGTTACATGTTGCTTGACTGTGTAGTGTATTTTAAGATTTAATTCTAATTCACCCTAAAACTCAATTGATTCGTTTACAATTTTACATTTATTTAATATTTTTTCAAAATATATTAATTATGGTTTGGATCATAAGAAATATTAAACAAATTTTATTATTTTCATAAGTCAAGTATAATAAATATTTTTGCATAATTTAAGGCGGAAAGAAAAATTGTAACACCAATCAAAAAAACTACTATTGCTTATGAAAATTGGTCTTTGTTTGTATGTATGTGATACGCAAAATTGTTAAATATTTGTTGTTGTTACTAAATTTTCCCCAAAAAAAGAAAAGTTTTACCATAATTTTTAATATTGTTTAATTGGGAAGAAACTCTTTTCTTATACATACATGCATTTATAACGTATATATGTTTTTATTAAATTTTTTTTCAAAATTATAATTAGAACCCAAAATAAAACAAGAGTGCTACTGATTAAACAAATAGTTTAATAAAACAGCAATTTTCCTTAAGTTTTGTAATTAAAACGAAATTGGTACCTAAAAAATGTCCCTGTTAGTATAAAAAAGTTTTGAAAAGATAAGCTCATACTTCTTTGCATCTAAAGTTCATGAAATAAAAAAAAAAAAAAAAAGAATTTTTTAGAACACACCAATTTTAAAAAATTTTTATACTAAAAAACCTAAATTTCTGAGTCTCCCTGAATCAACTAAACTAAACAATTCCCTGTAGTCATTTGTAAATTATTTATTGAAAAATTCTATACTAAAAATTTTAAGAATTTTTAATAAAAGGGAGGGGAAAATTAATTGTAAAATTATGGAATTGTTGAAATATTTCTTTAATCGACAGGATAACTAGTTTAAAAATAATAATTCATTTGATTTTTAAGAGATACTTTTGAAAAGAACAATTTTCTAAAAAGGTTTAGAAGAATAAAGTGACTGAAACCAAACCACTTTGGCTTTAGCTTAGTTTAAGCTAGGCTGCGCGGCCTACAAAGTTTACACCACCTTAAAGTAGCTTAGAGCTGTTTTGGTAACGTCGGATCTCTTCTTTTCCGCAGCTCATACGAACAAGCCTCATCTCCTCGAAAACCGTGTAAAATCCTTATTATTTACATTCGCTAAATCCGTAGCATACCAGAAAAGATAGACCCAGGAAATTTTTTCCTGGATTTTGCAAGGGCCGAACATGAGTAAAGAAGGTGGGTTACCGTTTACTCTTTTTTTTCGGCACAGCAACTTTTACAGAGATGTGGGCTGCCCATCCTCCTTTTCGCTTTAAGATCAAGTGATTGAAATTAGTTAAGAGCCAGGTTCTAGACAGACGAAATAAATGGTACTTATACTAATAAATTTTTTTTGTCAATTTTTTTCAAAATAAACTTAGAAAATGTCTTCAAAAGTTTTTCTCCCAAAGTAATTTATATAGAAACCAAAAACTTCTAGGGACCAAAAAAACAGCTAATTTTTTTTTTAAATTCTCCTCCTCTAAAATGGTTTGCGGTTTTTCGTTGTGATGAAAATTACGAAATTGTTTCAAAAAACTTGTAAATAAAAAACAAAATATTAAAAATTTTGTTGTACATTGAACTTTAGTTGACTTTGTATACAGTTTTTTTATTTATGAGTTTTGACTATACCATAGTAAACATCTATTATAAATATACATACATACAGTTATACATAAACTTGTAAATAAAATAATTATTATCTTTTATAATATATTGGAAAAGTTTTTGTTTTTTGTAAATATTTTTAACACTTCTAGAATATTTTAAAAGATTCGAATTTTTCTAATTTAAATTTTGATAAGAGGATTCAGTTAGATCTAGTGTATACTCAATAATGACAAAATTTATTTATTGAATTGAGTAAGGAAATTTTCTTTTATTTGGAATTGATTAAAACCTAAAGGCGCCTTTTTATTTCAAAATGTGTACATAAAGCGTGCTAGTTTTAAATTTAAAATTTTGGAATTTAGAATTTTCTATAAACGCTTACTATTTATAAAATGGTATGTGATGCATACGGAGTATTATTTATGATAAGTTTAAACCAAGACAGCGAATATGGTCACCTGTATTCTATGAGTAGCATTGAGGTCACGGGATATTATTAAACAGTATTGTGGTGTTCAGTATGGTTCAAATGTTTGTTTGAAAAAATTGTAAAATTTTTGAATAACATCCCATCATGTAAATTGATGCGACTAGAAAAATATGAGCGGATGTAAAAATTTTGTGACTTCCAAAGTGGATTTTTTTTAAATATTTTTTTTAAATTCTTGACTCTGAGTCCAAAATTATCTGCTTATTAGTCCAAAATAACTTTCTTCGATTATTTTGAAGATACTAATAAAAATCGTTTATGACCCATCACTATTTCACTGTGTTCCATATTGCTCCATTATTTTAAATTTTTTTTCAGTTCATTATTTATTAAAAATTAATTTTCATTTTTATTTTTCTCTAATTTCAGTTCTCCTTTACATTAATAATTATAATTCAATCTTTAAAAGATTTAATCCATCAAAATGGAGAAATCTACAGCACTTCATCATCATCATTCAACTAGTTCAACAACAGCAGCAACTGGTTCAAATGTTTTAGCGGGTAACGGGCCTAATAAAGTTTCACAAATTGCCAATATATTCCAAAGGCGGCCTATTGCCACCGATAATCAAGAGACTTCATTAAAAGACAGTAGTTGTACTAATAGTAGTAGTAATATCACAACAGGAGCAACACAATTACATTCACATTTACATCAGCATCATCAGCCACAAGTAACTGTGGTTAGAACTGAATCACATTCCACACGTTTTAATAATGCTCGCGCACTATTTGAAAAATTAGGTGCCGGTAAAACATCTGCCTTAAGTATTAAAATGTCACGTTCCGGTAGTCGTGAAGATAATTTATGTGATCATGCTGATAATTCACGTGAACATCAACAGCAACAGCAACAACAACAGCAACAGCAGCAACAACAACAAAATAGAAGATCTCCATCACCACCATTAAATAAAAGACGATCATCACCATTTTTAAATGATGGTGGTGTTCGTAATAGCGGTGGTATAAATCAAAGTGCCAATATTTTAAATAATAATAATACCCCAAATAATATTGTTTGTAGCCTAAATGGTGGTATACAACAAAAAGATATTCCATCAAAAATTCATAATATTTCTAGATTAAAATCTGATGAGATAAGTGGTGGTGAAAAACCAGAAAAACCAGAACGTAAATTTAATTCTCGTGAATTGATAGAAAAACAGAAAAAGTGGACATCACATTTTCCTAGAACCCGAAATTGTACAAATCGTGCAGAACCGACGCGTTGTGATATAATAAGAACCGGACCCGGTATAAGTATTGTTCAACCGAATCGGCCTAATAATAATCAAGTTGCACCACCAAAGTTACAACAAACTCAGCCACAACATTCAGTTGAATCAAATAACTCATATTACTCATCAAAATCATCTTCAATGGATTTAGAAGATAATTCATTACCACCTAGTCCACCAGTAAGACATAATGTTTGTCCACCAGAAATCAAACCAAAAAATTCATCAAAAACTGGTAGTCCAATAAGATCACCACCATTGCCGCCAATACCAGCTGCAAAACCATCTGCAGCTGCTGTTGCTGCAATGCGTTGTATATCAAGTCCAGAACGAATACGTTCACCAACAAAGGTATCTGAGCCACCGCCGGTACCAATGTCACCACCCGGTTCATCATCATCAACATCATCAGCATCGGTTTCAATAAACTCATCACCAGCAAGACAAATATCTCAACAAACTACAACAACAGTAGTTCCACATAAAAATGATGAATTTCCGGAAAAAATTCGTAAACGTTCTATTGACATATTAGAAGATCAACACAATCAATTGCAACAAAATAATTTTAATCATAATCAACAGCATCAACAATATCAAAAATCTTCAATTTCACCATTACCTATTGTTGGTAATAGTGGTAATAATGGTGGGCAACCAGTCTTTGAACAACAGAAACGTTCATCAATTGACAAAGATTTAAATTCTCCACCATTAATTGCACCACGTACTGTTAGTTCTAGTCCTAGTCCAGCACCAAGTGCATCGTCAGGACCGTCGAGTCCTGTTCATACAGAAGATGAAAAACAAGAAAATGAATCAACTGAAAAATCTGAATGGAAAAATCAATCTTCTTCTACAAGGACGGCAGAAAATGACGGTAAGTGAATATTTTTTTTCTTTAATTTCTGATATCTATAATTTCTATATTCTGGGACATATAGTTCTGCTACGTTTTTAGAACGTTAACTTTAACTAGCATCTTGTTCATTCTGGTACTCTGTTAAGACTATTTATATTTCGTTCATTTATTCATCAGTTATCCAATTTAATTAACATGAAAAATTGAATGCAATGCAATATTCTACAATTGGCCAAAATGCTTTGATTAAAATTTTCCATGAACCCTCATCTAATGAAATTCAAAAATTATTTGCACTTCTTTAAGTTTAAGTCTAAATTTCTTTTATATTGAAAAAAAAAACACAAATAATTTAAGGTTTAAAAGGGTTCCAATACTATAAAGCCCTTTTATTATAAAGTCTTCAATTAAATTAATTTCAATTTACATAAAAACGAATTTGAAAGTCAAAGGAAAACATAAACTTTATTTTTCACCTTCACCTTCAGCTTTTGTTTTTTAACATTAAAAATCATAAAGTACTAAATAAATGAAAATTAGAAAACAGGAAATTGAAAAAACTAAGTTGGGAAAGGAATAATTTGAAAAATGAATTAGATGGCATTTTTGTTTTTCTTTGCCCTTTGTAATGAATTTGAATTTATGGAGAAAAAAAGTCTAACTAGTACTAGTTTAAATTATGGAGGAAAATTGGTTGAATATTCACAATGCTTTATATTTTGCCGTAACTTTTTATGTAGGCACATAATGTTTATATATGCAAAACTGTGCTGTGTGATTGGAAACTTTACAGCACTTTGTAGTATTTTGTAGTTTAGAACCGAAAAAGAGGCGCCAATTAAGAGAAAATTGTAATTTTTATTAAATTTAATTGCTTAAATTGAAATAAAAACTTTAAATATGATGTATATGTGTCATACAAAAAAATATTTGCTATATATGAAAGTTCTCTTGTTGTTTTTGGCCGAAAAATTAAAGCTTTGCGCACGCGTCTTTAAAGATTATACCCTCATTTAACCTAAATGCTTTTGTTCTTATTGTTAAACCAAATATTTCGGGGGCACTCCTGAAAATTCTGGTTCTGTGAACTTGCGGTACTTAAAATATTTCAAAGATCCAAAATTAAACTCATGCAACTGGCTATACGAATCTAACATGTAATGGATTAAAATGGGGAAAGGATACTAGGAGAAAAAAATAATAGTAATCTTACATATTTTAGAATAGATTAAATATTTTGTAAAATTAAATTTTCAAGATTGCGCTAAACTGATATTTTAATTGAAAGGACATTTGAAACAGCCTTCATTAAGACGAATCCGCATAATATTCATTAGAGTTAATGAAAGTTGATTTCTATAGAATGGACTAAGAAAATATAACTAGATTTTCAGTTATTACGTACTCTTTTTTTTCGTAGTCTAGTTACAACAAGTGAAGTTCTAGCTAGCGTAAATAAAATTTCTAGTAAAAAAAGCATAACTAGGATTTAACACCGCATTCTAGTCGAATTTGGTTTAGAGAGTACTTTAATAGCTTTTACGCTTTATAAATCATATGAATGTGAACAAAAATCCTGCAGTATAGTGGTAGTCGGTGTAAATCTAATGGATGCTATTTTGCTTCTGCGAAGAACTTAGGTTTCAAACTCAGCTTACTTTGACATTTAATGTCAGAAGAAATCATTGTAAAGTCCCACTTTTTTGAAAAATAAAATTAATTTTTTTTTTAATTTAACATATTTTCATGCAATTTTTTATGGTGGTGCAAGTTTTACATGCAAAAAAAATTAACGTGTTATGAATAGATTGTTTTCTCTACTTCGAAATCTTCTCATTTTCTCATCTTAAAATAATGAATTTTCTATTTCATGTTACTTTAGTTTAAATTGTTCTAACTACAATATAGTTCTGTTGTAAAAATATTTTTGCAAACTGTTTTAAAAAAGAAGTTAGAGGAAACGGAAATTATAACGAAAAAATTGCAATACGTAGTGCACTTTGACAATTTTATTCTGCAGTTTTTATTTTTTTTTTTTTTTTGTAAAATTACACAAAATTTTTATAAAATAGGAAAACATTGACTATTGTGAATATGAATGAACACATGCAATAAACATTAAAACATTAAGATCTCTGTAAACTGTAGCGATGTGGCTGAAGAGAAAAAATACAGATAAGAGAGAAATTCTCTACAGAAAGTTCGCTTCTACATAAAATAAATGAGATTGATGGCGTGTGCGGTTAATACAAATATAACAGAGTATTTACAGATATGAAATATTATTTATGAATATTTCTCCTCCCGTTCTACGTTTTTATCAAAAATGTTTAGAACTTTACAAGAGAAAACTATATGAATTCAACAAAAAATGGTGAAAATACGATTGGATTCTATTTTACTTTTTCATAAAGTAAAATCTCATTTAAATTAAATTTAGGAGTTTCATTTAATCAAATGAAATTCACAATATAGTGTTTGTGGCATCAACACTTGCTATAATATTTTTGCAATGACAATTTTATACAATACACACTCTCATTTTCTGCAAAATTTCGAAAGCTTTTCAAATACTATTAAAATTTTTGTCATGCGCGATGCGTTATTAAATTTCAATTTCGTTATTTTTAATGGCTGCAAAATATTTTACTCTAAAGCTTTAAAAACATTTTGATTTTATCTAATGAACTTTTACACTCTCTTTTCTTTTTATTTTAAAATATAAACAATAAGGTAAGAAGGGGCTTTTCTTTCATTAATCAAATCAAAATTTTTACAATATTTTGAATTTTAAAATTAAAAGTTCTGAAGTAAACAAAAGGTTTCTGTATTTCTTGCAGAATTATTACTCGCTATTCGTTTTCACTTCACAGTTCCCGAAAAGCATCTAATTTATCGATAAAAAGAGTATTATGAAAGGAAAAATTGGAAATAATTATGCTGAAAATAATCAAGTTTACAGAGGTCTATTTTATGGAAATAATTTATGATATAAGAAATGCATTTTTCAAATGAAACCTTATTATTTTTATTAAGTTTTCTCAATTGTAATTGTAATATACAAATTTTTTTGTGGAAAAAGCCTTACATGATACAAGACTAGTATTTAATTAACTGTACAAAAATTGGATTTAAACACAGGTCCCAGTGTTTCATACTATATAACAAAAACTGTTCGAAGTTCTTAAAGATTAAAACCTGCATTCGAATTTGGATTAACAAAAATACTGACCACAGTCCTTGCAGTCATTTTGCTATTCAAAGAATACACATGGATAATGTTTCAACTTTACTTAACCTAAAAACAAACCCATAAACAAAACTACTTTATGATTTCCCATAGAGTCTCCAATCTAAACCACCCCGTCAACCAATGCCGGGATAATGAAGCTCAAAGTTATTGAAAATTGTACTGGTTTTAAATTTTGAAACTTTAAGTATCACTCCGCTTCTGTGCAAGGTATATGATCAAATATTATTTGGAAAACCTGAAACATGGACTTTCAAATGAACAATTATTTTATTATAAGATTAAATTTCAAAGCCAGATGTCTTTAAAGTTGGACAAAATTTTAATTTTTAATTTAAAATTCTTAAAAAACGTTAGGTTTTCAAGTGCGATTTGCTCTTGTACATCTATTGTTCGTGTAAAGTGAGGTTTAATTTAGTTTATCAAACATCATTTTAACTTTATTAGTGTGGGAGGTGTTAAGCAAAATAAAGCGCCACATAATGTGCAATGAAACTTTTTATAAATAGTTAAGCAGCAGTAATTAACAGATGTACTATATCTGTGCACTTCTGTACGACTATAGATTGTAATCAAATAAATTTTAATTGTGTAGCGACCATAAATTTCTATAATGTAAAATAGAAAGATGTCTGTGGTAGCGGCAAATTATAATACGAAAAAACTGAAAGCGGAGATTTGTAAGATTAAAACTTTCATTAAATTGTTGGTCCTTCTTTAATTTTTTCTCTTGCATTTTATGGTACTTTAAATTTTACTTTGGCTACACATTCTAATAAATATTTTTGATTTTTGATTGTGATAAAAATTTTTTTTGTACTCGTAGTAAGTTATTAAGTTATAGGGTACAAACATATTTAAATACAATTTTCAATGCAAACGAGAAGGGTGAGCTAATATAGTGTTACAAGACCGGAGTCAATAAAGGTAGCAACAGCGCAGCACATCTCCAAAATTAGAAATGCAATTGATACCTCAATTTTAAAGGTTTTAAAGATTTACGGATGATATTTTTTAACACCTAGAGCATAAAAAACAAGGCTGCTCGAAAGAGTGGCAGCGACAAGCAGATATTACAATTGTTTATTTCCAAAATAAATACGCAGACATACGCAATTAGAATACAGCTGTTTTGTAAGTGTTTTGAATTTTTTGAAAATTCTAAACAGAAAAGAGATAAAAAAGAGAATAAGAATTTTTCTGTTATTCAATCGTCATGCTTTTAGTTCTTATTTTAATGATCAATAGTGTGTGCTATTATGTAAAGGTATACGCAATATTATTTGCTACCTTATTTTATAGCGTCGAACAAACATGGCAATTAATCTTATATATGGGTTGCCTTAAATAACTTAGCAAATGAGTTGTAGATGTGGGTGCTAGAGACGTTCACAAGTATTAAAACTTCCATGTTCATAATAAAAAAGAAAATATGTTAGCCATAATTTTAAATCACAATCGTAGTGTTAATCACATTTTAATATGATGACAATCGATTCTAATATAATTTCTTAATTTTTTTCTTTAAAATTCATTCTTTCATTTATATTTTTATACTCTACGCCTTACTGATGAAGGATATATTAGTTTTGGTATGGAGTTTGTAACCGCTTGAACTAGTTGTCTGAACCATGAAAATGTATACAATATTCCTGCGTTAATTTTCGCATGTTCATCCGTCCGATCACACTATAACTCAGAAAGAAATATAAATTTTCTATTCAATTGTAATTGGACCAATTCAAACAATGGGCTCAGGTGACTGCCA